AGGACAAGTAGACACTCGAAAAGTGAAGTTGGCGAGAAGTTGAACAGTTGTGGTCGAATCACCAGGAGGGCATGACGAACGGCTAGCAAATTCGGTTTGAAACTGAGATAAAAGAATTTGCAGACTGTCAGAACCAGGACTATCTGTCTCATCCAGACAGTCAAAGTTTGCTTCAATGCCTTTAGTCATCCAAGGGGAATTCCTAGGGACGGAATTGTCACTGAAAGGAAGAATGTACACTACTGTGAGCAAGAACCGTTGTCAACAGAACCCAAGTACTGAAATGAATCTTTCCAGCTCAGTGGTATCCTAATTAACTTTCAGTACTGGTAGGTCAGACATCTGAAACCGGATCCAGTGTATCACTAAGCATACTGGGCCATCTGGCTTACGCTTCACCGGTTGAGATCCCGGAGGTAAAGTCATATTCTCATTCAAATTCAAATTGAGCTGCGAGGCAAAACGTAAATAAGCAATTTATCCTAAAATCAAGACAACTCGATGAACACTACTCCTACGCGGCATGTAAGGATGGGAAAGATAAGAGAACGCAAATTGTCAATTTGGGAACACGAACACTCAAAAAACACAAGACTGTCATCTACTTATAGGATAAAAGTTCAATACGTTGCAGTTATTCTTAGCTGGTAACATTGCAGAAGCCTGCCCTGTCTGCTCTGTCGACGTGGCCAGTCAATCGATTTTTGCGCATCGCTGATTACTGGTTCACACTGGACTCGCCTCGCCACTTATGATGACTGATCTTCTAAGCGTGAATTGGCAGTCAAATCAGTCAATCGATTTTTGCGTACCGCTGATTACTGGTATGCGCCGGATTTGTGGTCAACGCTGGCAGAAACACACTTCATCACTGAGGCCTGGCGAACGGACGCAACAAGCAACTGGCTCCCAATTCAGCTTGTACAATTCCTTCTTGCCATAGTAAAGAAGTTGTCCCATCAACTCTGTCTTACCTGCCTTGATTTGGGGAAGCCTTCCGTGGTCGACGCAATAACTTGCGACATTGGTGACCTCCAGGAGAACACGCTCTTCTTCCAAATCTCCGAATTCACCCGCTGGCCGGAAGCCATTCCTCTACCCAATATCGAGGCTCCAACGGTGGTTAAGGCGTTTCTCAGTCGTTGGGTTGCCATCTTCGGCGCTCCCTCCACCATCACGACTGATCGCGGTTCTCAGTTCGAATCTCATCTCTTCCCGTCTATTCTCTCCTTTTTAGGCTGTACCCGCATCCGCACCACAGCCTATCACCCGGCTGCCAACGGGATGATCGAACGGTTTCATCGCCAGT